GAATTTTAGTCCTAATAAATCAATCATGTTCAAATATATTTTACACAGTCACCTCGATAAGTCATTCGTACCAGCAGTGTCGGTCACTTCCCTACAACCATGTTAACGTTCATCGACCACATTAGCTCTATGCACGCGAAAAGCGCCCGTAACGAGTCCTTCTCTCCTATATATTATGCACAGCATTACGACGAAGTGAAATAGAATAATCCCTTACTCGTGCCGGTCTCCGAAGTCCTTTCTAGCCTTCGGGAGCATCAGACAACGCAGGACTGATATCTAATGCTTCCCGCATACTGCACGCAGGTATTGCGCTCTGACTTTGCGGGGCCCATCGGCGAGCTGCTAAGCTTTGACACCGCTGTTCCAGGAGAATCGGAGGTTCAGCTATTTGTAAGTTGGCTGTTTCAAGAAAGGCCCCGAGGACCTACGAAAGACAGGTCTACGGACTGCATGGCAAACCACGCTTATGCAACCTGGTCCCAGGTGCTTTCAGTACGGCCGAAGGGATTAGATAGGATGGAAGGAATTCAGAGCGGAAAGAGTAGATTGAGTTAGTGTAGATAGCGAAGACGAAAAAGGAGATCCGATCAGGCCACCCTGTCTGATATATCGTTCGTGTTGTCGATAATTGAACGTCACAGACCTACGGAATCCATAAGGAAGAGAGAAAGTGAATTCCGCCGAGAATACAAGAGGAAACGAACGGATTTTCCAGGAGAGAACGGATTTGGTACAATAAGAAGCTGCTATACAGTGGTTTTATTTTGAACGAGGGAGGAGTCTTTTGGCAGTCCTGATCTGTCTCCTCTCTAATGGTAGTAAGGTTTACAGCACACTAACTACAATTATGCATTTATATACGCGTGCTATTAATTATATAATTGCATATAATACGGGTGCCGTAGTACAGCTGTAGGAGTTTAATGTTCACTCGCTTTTCATATTTTTTTTTTTAATATTATCAATTTGTTTGACAAAAGTTATGGTGGAAGTATAAAAAACGTCGAGTTATATAGCAAGTAGAAGTTTGTTGAAGGTGATCTCGTACACTGGTACATACGTATGCTGTAGCAGTAGTGTCACAAAGCCAACAGTATAATGGTTACCACAGATGCCTTTTAAATTGACACGTCCAACGTCATATCTCTATATATCACTACCAACTTGATGAAATCTTTGGTTTTGGTGATGAAATGGTGGAACAACATGACATGCTAATTAGTATAATGATCAGGTCATTATATTAAATAAAATGAACTTGTTTAGCTCGGGATAAACTGTGCTCACTTTTCTGCAAAATGTGCTTTTCTCAACGCCAGCGTTGAATGTGCCATTGCACACATCTCTACTGTTCTTATTAAAGCTATTTGTTCCAGCTAGCTACGGAGACATAACGTCTATTTAGCTTTACAAAGCGGCAATGATTAATAAAATTTAGGTCATTCCTTAGATTACACTAATAGAGAGTTGCTGGTCAACCATTATCTAAGCGTACGTAATTCAGGCAGTTGGTCCTTACGTGTGTCAAAGTTTGTCCGCTTGCTATATGACCCATTTTAGATGTTCATTGATTCCGTATTAGAAACATAGTACATGCATCTGTATAGCCGTAGCTGAATGATCATTATGACCACACTCGGCGGTTATCTTCGAGTCTGCTTTCGACTGACCCTGCATCGCTTCGGCTCGTATCTTTAGGCGCCCCCGGCTCGACGGCGGTGCACTGCACTACACTTAAACAGTTTCAGAGTTTGTTGTCATTCAGTAAGCAGACCATCATGCGTGGAAAACACTAAATCGATTAATGGCAACTGGGTCGTAACACAAAATCGCATAGAGAGCTAAAGACATCTATAGAGCAGAGAGGATCAGCCATAAGACCCCGAGGGCAGGAGAGGACAGGCCGGTGAATGGATTTACACCGGCTTTAGAATTAATGCGCGATCAAATATGCGTTTTCTTAGCCCCGGCCCCCCCCCCCTTTTTCATCACTGATTTGATTCTGAAGAATGATTCTGCTTTATTGCAAGTTAAACGGATTCAGGGCGTAACCGCTAGAAAACTGACGTGATTGTAGGACTTTTGTGTAGTGGGTGCCTGAAAGGCTTGGCTTTCCACAACAAGCCAAAATACGATCCTCGCTAAATCAATTGGTCAAATGTTTAGAGCTCGGAACCTGTACTGATGATTATTTCCTTTTTGCGTAGTGCGTGATGCAGTTACTCACAACATATCTTAGGAAGGCATTTTTTTTGGAATTATTAAGTCGCCTGCATTTCAATGGGACAAGATCGGTTATTAATTGCAATACGGTACGCCATTAGGTTTGAACCCTAGAAAATGATATAATAAAGGATAACAATCATCGATAGCAGGAGAGTTTCAAAGACTCACAGCCGAACTTAGAGGCACGTTTTTCCGTAATAACTTTAGAAGCTCTTTATGTTTTAGTATGAATCATTTAAACTTGTGTGATAAAAAAAAAGTTAACGATAAAAAACATCTCTCATTTTATTTTGTAATAATCATCGATATGAATAATCTGCAAAAATCTTCGTCGTGAAGTCAAATGGACGAACGCAAGGACTTGATTCCTTTGCGCCTCTAATGAGACCTACTGAAATAATAGTTCCATTGCGTGTGTCGAATTATTTACGATGTAATAGATCTACTGAATTCGCTAATATTCTTTTTGATATCGGCATCTGCTCAAGGTGTTCCAACTAGCTGCACGGTGAGTGCAATAGGAAGTTATACAATAGGTATGAAACCTTTTTCGCACGGAATTGTGTCATTGACATAAGTAACTGAATAATCGACGATGTTAAACTACGCCATTACAAGAAACTCCCACGCGTGCAAGGGTCAATGAGGCGTGAATAGTCTGTCTCGAACTCTATGCCAGGCGACTGTGATCTAATTAACAGAATCCAACATGAGTTATCGGTAGATGCAGGCTGCATCTATTTCGTGGCCGCTATAGAGCAAGCAGTAAAAATTGATCTTTTTGGTTATGTTTATCTCTAAATTGCAATTATATGTTGACAACAACAAAGATTCGATACTTTTCAACACTGATGAAAGTATGCAGTAATGCCTTCACTTTACTAAATCGAAGATCTTCACAGCTATTTCGACCTTCGGGCAAAGATTGCTTGAAGCAGGAAAATCGCAAAATTGATCAGACAAAGAATTAATAAGCGACATCTTGGTTTCAAAGGCCTGTGGTTCTATGCAACGAACCTATTGTCTCCGACTGCTATTCGAAAGACTTCATTTCTAAATTTATGCTTGAGCGTTGATCTTTCCCGCTAAAATGATGGAGGTAAAAACGATTTATATCTACACATCGGTAGGTTTGATCTCTCTACTCATCTTGATTGTTTTTATGTCATGCCTGTGGATGTTACTACGTAAAACATCTAATCCACAAAGTTTGCCCGTCAACGGTAGTGCTGATGATCGATGAACATAACAATGCAGAAGATCCTTTAGGAACCTCGAAGACTCACTAAACCCCTTATTGAATTTGATTTGGACGTGCAATGTGATCAGCACCTCTTCAACCGAAAAGGCGACATATATTGGACTTCAAAGTAGGTCACTCTGAGAAGTGAGAGAGTAAGGGAACTGAACTGCAATTCCGTAACTGAAGACGGTTGTCCACTGATATAGTTGAACCGGATCGCGGCCCACCAACGAGTGGTACTCAGACCAAATATAAGTGAATGGGAAACTCAAGATCGAAAGGGTTCGGAAAAGTAATTAACCATTTACATATATAATATGCGTTATATGTGAATCATGGCATCTTTATTTCTGGTTGAAAAGATTCGTTCAGTTGGTAGCGCTTTCTCACTGCCTCAGCGACGGGTATTATTGAAGCAATTTGACACTAGGGTAATTCGTATATGAACCGATTATTGCATGCCCATACGCCAGCTAAAGAGGGAAGCTGAATATTTCATGTGTGTGTTTCGTAGGACCTTCCGTGCTCAACAAAAATAAGCCAAACTGTAGAAACGTTAAACATATTTCAATATAGAGCATAGATGAAGATCCCATCGCCTGGTCCGAAAGTAGGCCTTAAAGTACAAACGGGCGCTCCTGTTTGTGCTGTTGAAGTTCACGTCGTGGTTATAATTTGTTAAAACTGCATACTCGTTCCCACTATGCCAATTTTGATTTAAGCATTTTATTAGTTGCTTGATTGCATTTTCGCTTTTCACTTTAATATGCGCTTCTTAGCCGTTTCTAAGGAGCTACCAGCTATCCTGTGCTATCCAGTTCCTTAACTTCCCAAAAGTTTTCAATAACCGGAACCTTTCGGTTCGATGTTCAATAGATCACGGTTTCATCATGATGCTTTCGATGCGTGGAGACGCATCTGTCAAAAGCTCATTACCTATTTCGCTTTTATTATTGTTATTTAATATTCGACTGGGCAGTCGTAAGCCCATCAGTTAGCATTGCAATATAAAAGACGTGGCTTTCTTGACCTTAAGAAAAGCTTGGCCGCTAGCTTTCGAAAGCAGCCAAAAGTCAACGATAACCTGATTGAAGTATAAATGATATCGTTCACATATAGCATTTAGATTGAATCACCCACAGTTTTGGCTATAGCCCATCTTAATATATAATCAAAAGCAAGCTAGATAGTTCATGCTCATTACAGAGTGCCAGAAGTGCCATGAAACTCAACAAGATTAAAGATTCACGCACAGAGACACATACCGCAAATCAAAGTCTCCTGACAAATAGAGTTCTATTGTTTTTACGTTAATATTCAAATCATGCAGCTGACTGTGCTCAAAAGAATATTTCCTGCCAGAACCATTTGATAGATGGCGCCGGCGTCGTGTCAAAGCAGGAGAGGGCAATTTAGGAAAGGGTCACTGTTTTGTGTATTCACCCACTGGCGTTCACCGGTGAGCGCCGGCCGATGATGAGGCGGCCAGTTCATCCTGCGTCTAGCGTCTAGGGTTGTTCGACGGGCGTGCGGCGCTTCTCGGTCGCTGGTGGTAGCAGAGCGTGCAAAACATAGTGAAGGATCACGATCTTCGAAGGCAACATCAGGCGACTGTAGATTCATTCAACATGACCTGATGAAAATAGCTGGGCCGTAACTGTGAATGTTTTGCATTGCGGCTTCTAAACAACGTGCAACTGAACGCTAGGCGTACAAAGTTGTATCTGTGTACGTGTGTACATGCGCGTGTTTGATGGTGACGACAATGTCGTCGAGTTTCTAATGAGTGGTTAGCGAAACTATGCGAAGAGGATAAAAATAATAATAATAATAATAATAATAGATACTGGTCAAGCAAGCTACAACAAACGTGACGTGCAAATAACAAGCAAAAGCGTGTACGGGATTTATCTCTGTGGTACAGTTAAACGGATTTATTTAATCCGAAGTGGACATGCCAACATGCCGAAAAGGATTCCACCGTTCCTTGGAAAAAATATGATTCACGCTAGCAGCAATAATAGAATTGTACTCGTGATAAGCTTGTCGCTTGTACTCTATGCGCTTGTGGTAACCTGTGAAGTTCGAGTTATCAAACCAGTCGAAAAAGGTCGGTGTTCAATACTGCGTTGATCATCATTTGTTTTTTGTTATTTGAAGGGGAAAAATATACGATGCAAAGATCGAATCGAGCAGTCGTTTATGCTGCGTTCACATTTGGTTAACGTTCAGTCAGCTCGATTCAGGGTAGGCGTACGGTGTAATGAGCTATCGGCAAGGAACTCGAAACAGCCTGGTCAACACGTACGAGTGAAGACCCTGCATTTTATAATTTTAATATTCAAATTGACAATAGCGATGGCACATAAATATTAAACATTAATTTCTATAATATCGGAATTATTTGAAATTTGGAAATGCTGATCTCGCTAAGGTTTCAAGAAGCTTGTTATACTATTTATAATCATAAAATATTTTGACCTCTTACGCATTTTTTCGAAGTGTTGCCCTGGTTTTTCAATTGTGATACGCAGATGAGCTCGTACCTGTTGTCGGTAGCGTTGATTAGAAGCTTTTCGAACAATATCTATTGCGTTAAAACGAAGAAATTAAGCGAAGCTAACTAGCAACATTTATGACTTTAATGCCGTTTAATAGGTTCTAACTCCTGTGTAGTCCGAATACAAGTAGTCGAAATACGTTTGACTTGGTAATGGTAGTAAGCTCGTCTTGGTCATATATACATAAGTAATTATTTTTAACTTTGCATGGATTCGGTTTATTTTTTTTATTGATCTTTGGCTTATGGGGAAGAAAATAGTTGATCGGAGAAAGATGCTACTATCTTCCTTATAATCAGAAAATTACTCAAGAGGTTCTAATCTATTAGAGGTGACATGATATAATTGGCGTCATTTTGGCACGTTTTTTTAAATGCAATTATTATCTTACGTAATTATTTTCTTTTATTAAGGAGTAGTTATACTCACTTTTTTATTTTTCATCAGTTTGTTTTTTGCTCACACATCACGCGCGTAAGCATTTGTCATATCTACCCGGTACTGTGCAAATAGCTATAAATGAATTAGAGGCAGGAAGTTTTCGGAGTTTGTACTCTGTATTAAACTCTGTATTAATACTATTACAATCCAATAGTGAAACCTTCGGTGATTTTGTAGTCACTCCGGATGTTTTCTTTTGAGCTTTTGGGTTGAGTTTTGTCCTTGTTCGAAAGCGGTCTCCGATCATCCGGTTTATGATATGATGACGACGACAATAACCGTTGCAGCGTTACGCTTTATCCCCTTGGAGCGTTTTCTCACAGTAATGACGGTCGCCGAAACTGCTGTCACCCGCCAACATTTTTTTCTCACGTAATGGCAGCAGCAGTGGCGACAAAATCATAGCCTTGATTTACCGTCCTGTTCTCCCTTCCGTATAAGCTTGCTTTTGCTTTGAGAGCTTTGAAATCTAGAGCAGTAACGCAACTTCGTTGTTGTCCCTGTCATTGCTGTTGCTGGTCGGCCCTCACACCGAAGTTTACTTGCCCCCGTCAAAAGGTTCTACCCCAAATCCCAGGTGAGCATGTGCTATTAGTGGAGACAAACCGAAGACGCCATAAAGCTTTGACGTTGAAAGAACTAGGATACGACAACGTACAGAGGCCAGAAGCTGCTGACAGCAGCCTTGTACAGTCATCCTTTCAGTTGTGAATCGCATTCTGCTTAACTTTTTATTTTTTTTTATATATATATGTAGCTACGGAAAAAACGTGTTAACGTACAGCTAAAAATTTATTGAATGCTACTGACGACTCTCATTTGAATTTTACCGAATTCTGCCGAATACTGGTAAAAGCTCAGCGATGGCGATAGCATTCAGTGTCAAGAGGATCTTTATCACATCGAGGCCACGTCTTAAGTTTTAAAAAACAGTGATCTTCGGATATGCACTTTCGAGTTCAGATATTGATATTATGCAAAGTTATCCATATGTAATACTGGCACATCTTATGCGATTGGAATTTAACAAACATAATACGCGAGTAACGATAATTCGACTCCAAAGTTACCGCTCGGAAAGGTCACAAGTTGAACCTGACTAGGTTTTCCCTTTTCATTTTTTTTTAATTGTTTGACTGATCATAACAGCTCAGATTAGCGCTAATACGTGTTATCGGTCCTTAAATGTTTCAAGCAGGATGCGTGATGATGACCTCCCAGTTTTGCGCAGTATCGTGATGACACATCTGCATGTTCATGTACGCAGAGATAGTTATAGACCCTCTGATTAACTTTTCTAACAAACGTTCTGACTAGCTAGAGAGAAAGGCTAAATTGATGAAAGAAAAACAAAATGGAAGATGGCAGCCAGTGGTACCGTTTAGTTTCTGCGGTTTGATTTATTGCAGCGTCGAACATGAATAGTATAAGTGTATAGGCCCTAGTAATACCTAAAATACTGAAGACCTTACTATAATGAATATGATTGATATTTAACGTCAAAAACATTAGGAAATATGTAGCGGAAATATCTGAAGCATGGTGCAAGTGGCGATTGGTGCCAAGAAAGTAACATTTACAATTGTTTTTTTTTTGCTAATGGGTCTATCAAGATGCGAGCAATGTTGTTAAAGATCACTAAAAGTTCGAAACAATCCAAATACTATCGAAGCGTTTCAAATAGAAGTGACCGTGCTATCACCATATGAAAAGTCCCCGAAGCAATAGCGAGTACCTTTCGTGTATCGAGAAGTCTATTAATATATAGCGTATTATATGTTTTTTGCATAGCGAGTTTATTGACCTAAAAAATTGTCAATAGATTTCGTTGTATGTGGCCATCCGACTCCCAACACCTTGTCTATCCTACCGAAGTAGCTTGCTATCAAAACATTATATTGATAATAGTACTTAGATTACACATATGTATATACACCATCTAACCTATGGAACTAACAACTCAACGATACAAGCCATTTTCCGTCGATCGATTCCAGAAAGCTTTTTGACCTTGTTTTCCTCAAGCTCTCAAGTTCAATTATCTACAACGCAATGCATTTGACTGTAAACGGAGCGCAGCTTCAATTGTATGTATGCGTCATGCACTTCAAGTTATCAAATTGCACGATACGAACTGCGTTCAGCAACCGGCGAGTTGATTGACAGGATCGATAGAGGAATCATAAGTCTGTCTGTACATACACAATTTGGTCGAAATTCGAGATCGCACAGAGCAGCGTACGAGATCGATATGTTTTTACGCACGATAATTTCTACTATTCGTCCCGGTGTGGCACGACTGGCTGTTTTTTTTTTCGGCTGAATGAATAAACAAAATAAGATAGATCCAAAACGCACTTCGAATATCAATGTGTTGCTTTCATTCGTTTACTCCTTCGTGTTGAGTGATGGTTAATGCATTTTTTTTTTTAGAAGTTTGTCACGCACTTTGTACGGGATTAGTATAATGTAATGACAAATAACTGTCATACTGTGCTTATGCAACGACAAGCTTTAGAAGGCAATTTCATCTACCTCACTAAGACCACCTAAATTTATTAGAGTAATGCTAGTACATGCCACAGCGATGGCTGGAAAAGATGGAGGATTCCCGAAGTTTATCGTCATTGACGGGCACGCCCCAGTGACGATGACCCTACGAATAGTGCGTATGCCTGGAAATGTGGTACAGTATAGAATATCCTTACTTTTCTCGCTGAATATGGATAAACGTTATCGATGAATATCCCGAGCATGCAGGCTGTTACTGAGCTGTTTTTCTTTCAGCCTAAATGAAAGAGAATGGCTTTACCACTGTTTCCAATGTTTTTTTTCCCTATTTCAAAGAGTGCTGCCTAATATGGCCACCCCCAATACGTAGCTCTGCGTGGTTCTTCCAATCGATAAGGATCAGTTAGGTATGCCTTGTTCAACCATACCGTAATAGACCGGTTTTTAAAGTATTTACTTCTAGCGTAAAAAATAATGTTAGATGAATACACAAATCAGAACTAATAAATCTTCATGCATGCCTCATTAGAATTGCGACGCCTTCTTGCTGTTTCCTAATCGATCATATAGTTCATGGGCGTATATGTCGCATGGCATGTTTATGACCGTAAGTCTATTATGAATCAAAATTGATCGTGTGTTTATCCGTATATAGTACCTCCATTATACAGTACTAATTATGTTTAATATTTGCTTATTCGCCATATTTATCTTTTTCCAACGGATGCACCTATACAGGTAGATAATTCCGATGAATTGCCCTTGGTCGTAGATTGGACTATTTTTGTCTGAATGGTTTATCAATAAAGTCGTATAATTTCTAACTATTTGGTCAAGAATAGCTCGCTCAATAAAAAAAATAATTTAGTCTCCGGTCCACTTCGTCTTTTCTCACTCATCGTTTAGTGACAGTGATTAATTGAAAAAAAAAAAAAGCTAAACCCTAAGGCTTTTTCCATTAGAGCGGTCCGCATTGGATTGCATGAACTTCGATGCCCGTGTGTGTATTTATAACGACATATGAACGACACGCAGCCTTCTTAAGTCTGAGGGCTGAAAGGATTTCTTTTCTCCAGTAAAGTGGATTGTGACGTCAATGTACATTGACAAGCTGAGAAATTATTATTATTATCGTAAACTGAACTTTCTGCTCTTGTTGCATATCGCAGCATCTGCGTGGCGTCTGATAGTCCTAATTGTGCACCCTTGTGTATGAGCAACTGCTTAAAATAGGCAGCTATAATTTAATACATGCTATGAGGGGATTCGACACGGCGAAGACGGTCCAATTGGCTGAATGCATGCAGTGCTCGTATCTACACGTGTCTGACTTTTGGACGCCGCCCTGACTCTACTGACCAGGGACGTTAGTGGGCTGCAAATGACCAACTCAAGGTGACGGCAGCAGTTACCAGTTAAGAGGCTCCAGAGTTGCGACGCTGTCTCAAATGCCTTTTTCTTTCCGGCAGTGGAAAGTACTCGTCGCCCGTCATATGATTGTGCGCGTCAGAGCGTCAAACGGTTGTAGAGCCCGTTGTGTTTCAATGCCAAACGGAGTAGTTCGCTAGGGTAAATTTTTCTCGTAGCCTCCGGATGGAAGAGCGCTTGAACTTGACCGAAAAGCGTCGTCTCTGTTCCGAAAGTGAGCTGATTTAGCGGGCGAGCAGTAGCAGCGACTGCTCTGAAACATCTTATTCCATTAAAGGTCGAGAATTTGAAAGAGTTTGCGCGTTTCGGTGAGATTGATGTTCTGGAGCATACTCTCGTCGTCATTCTGACATTGCGTACAACTTAAGGTTTCGTTTTATGAGATAGTTTCTATAGAAGTATCAAAAGAGAAGCGAATTTGTCAAAATAAAAAGCTTGAGGAACTCCAACTGCGGTGTTATTCGAGATAAAAACAGCGCTCTATAGTCGCTTTAAAAAATTAATTGCTTCTGTGAGCCATTGAAATATCCATTTAGATTCTGAAAGGAAAATAGAAAACTTTTCAGTGAATGCGTTTACTAGTACAACAGCCCGAGACCTAACGTCTGGCTATCTGTCCGTTTCGAAGCACCCGATGAGTGCTCTTTGCGAAGTCGTTGAAGCCCTTTCTGTCGTGGTGTGTAGGTTTTATATTTCGACTTTTCAACACAATTTAAAGATAAACATTTGGAAAAGAGTTCCGGCGTTCTATGTCGCGTCTGGCAACGCTTTGGTTCAAAACTTAACAAATGTATCTAAGCGAAAAGTAGTAAGGCTTTTGATGAACGTCTCAAATCAAGATATACTATAATATCTGCTATAATATCCGAACAAGAAAAGCAGTTAAGACATTCATGTTTAGAACATGTTTTTACGATCCTGCTGCACAACCTGGTTTTGTTGAGTGCATATCGGACTTAGCCATGTGTTGAAATCTAGGAGCTTATGTGTCACGCTCATGATGCACTTCATAGCTATTTCAGGCTTTTTCGGTAGAGGCCCTATCCTGACTTTTGGTTCAGCTTTTACCATCTATTTAGATTAGGCGTCAATGTTACCCAGGCATAATAAGAGCTGAAACCAAGGTTTTGTTAGAATTTATTTTTGTTAGAAGGGTGAATCTGCGCAGATGTGGCTGAAACTGCTACTACCGACAAATCTAATAAAACGTATATGCAGAGTTGTTTCGGTCACGCCTGATCAAACACGCCCGGGGGCATGTGCAAATGGCGGGCTAAAGGTATGGTGATAGAGTCGCAAAAGGTTTTGGTGTTCCTTAACTTTAAAGTCCCAGCGGAAAACCCCTAAGCTGCTTTCAAAATACTCAAGGTATTGGAGTATACAAGCCACTTGGTGACGGCATGACAAGATGGGTAGAGAGAAGACGACGAATTAATTTAAATAAAATTGCAGTGCTTTAATTTCTGTTGTATAAGCTTTGCTCTTGCTGGAGTATGATGAGGATTCGTTTAAGGTAATACTCTAGTGAAAATAAGGATTGATATTAAACAACTTTTGTTTTGTTTCTAAGGGCTAGCTAGTATTATGACGCAGACTTAGACTTTTCTTATGTTTATACAAGATACCATTCTCTCAAAGAGTCTATGTTTGGGCACTCCCAATTAAGCACATTGTATTTCCTCTCTGACCAGAACCTCAATACGCGGTGCTAGCAAGATATATTTATCGTAGAGTTAAAAACATTTTTAAATGGTACATAGTAAGATCTAGAAAATGCAATACTCATCATTGATGTTTCATACAATCAGATACAAGCAATAATATAATAATAATAAACTGTGCAAACAATAATTATTCTATATCTGAAGAAAAAAAATACAAAATACAGAGTATTGCAATTGGCATCTTTATGAAAATAAGTAAGTAAGGGGAAGATCTCTCGTGTGTGCAAATACAAAGACTTAGCAATTTTATAAGCACTAAAGATAGATACCTTATTTTTTTCATATATATAAGAATACTTACTATGTACTTATAGGAGTTATAGTTTCACGCACTCCTATAGAGTGCGTGAAACGGCAATTACTCAATAGCAGAATAGTTAAACTAAATTCAAATACTCTGTATTTATTTCCAGATGACTCGGACACCGAATTTGATGAAGACGACGGTGCTGACCGCGATGACGGAGCAGATAGGTCTTCGCTGTTATTACATGAGTTGAACGAAGGGCCAATTATCGAACGTGAGCCTGTTGACAAGGAGATTTCTCGTGGCGAATACACAAATCGTACAAACAATGCATTTACTTGCGCTGCGCGAAACGCCCTCTCTATTCAGGTACGGTGTTCACCGAAAAACCTTTCGGAACCCCAGCCTTTATCTACAGTCACACCAACAACCGTTACTGAAACAACTGGACAAGGCGTTCACACTACGGGTGAAAACGCTTCTGGTCAGAAACAATCAGAAGCGAATAACTCTGGGGGTTCCTTGGTTGTTCCATCTTCAGCGTTGGTTGATCTCGTCGACCCAATGACAGGGGTGAGGCACATTGAGATACAGGCCATTATAGATGACAGGATCTTTGGGAAGTTTCCAAACGCTGAAGATGGACGTCCTATGAGAACCCTGTTCTGTACGTGTTATGCATGGAGTTCGAAAGGACAAGTGATTTCCAGAGTTGCAACAGTGAAGTTGACTGAAGGTGAGAAACAACGGGTGTTAATGTTATGAAGAGCATAGGTAAACTGCGGCCCCATCTATGTTAACACATAGAGTAAAAAATTGTTAGATTTTTCGCACCATTATATAGTTATCGGGCAGACCTTTGGCTTAGTCTTAACACGTTATTTATTAATTGGCTGCAATAATTATACTGGCAAAAAATACACTATTGGATAACTATGCCCCACTAAGCAGTAGATTACGTTTTCCAGGATATTTGGGTTAAAAAGGCACTAGGGTGATAAACGGCGGTCATGTTTGAAAAAAATAAATTATCAGCAAGATGAATCTACCAGCAATATGCTCCTTTTAGGTGTCCCGATGGAGAAAAAAAATTCAAAGGGCCCCAAAGTGAGTATGCCGGGAACCCGAGTAGTATCTTTGGGAGAAAAAGTGCTGCTTGAATGTTCACTGAAACGGCCCCACTCGTCCAAGTATAGGGGTGCACAGAATAATGACGAAGATTATCGCATCTTCTGGTTGAGAAACAATGCGGAAGTTATGCTAGATGATAACGTGGAAATCAATTCCGAAGATGGCAGTCTTTTGATCCTACGAGCAGATGTATCCAACGAAGGTAGTTATGCTTGTGGTATTAGGGCAAGCGGAGGTAGCAAGGACCACTCTGCCGTACGATTAGGCGATGCAATTGCTATTAACGTACGCGGTAAGTACACTGTTAGATGATTAAAGACGACTATTTTACATAAAGTGAATTATAGAAGCGGACCTGTAACCGTCTAGCTAGCAACTTAGCCGTTATGAAGCTACCTGAAACGAAACGTAACTTCCCAGGCGAGGATGTTTTGGTCTGAAGCGTCTGAAATTTGAATATGTAGACTCCAGTACCAACAGCAATGCCCGTGACTTTAGAGTGGCCATCAGATACAAAAAAGATTCGAGTGGATTAATAACATAACAATTCCAGGTTGGGTTCTCAGCCGAATGAAAAAATATCTAATAAAAGATATTTAAACCTAATGAAGGAATATCTGGTTGAGAAAGATCATACAGCGAATATACTCATTGGTGTTCAATCTACTTTAGCTGACGGTTCGTGGTCTTCTTGGGGGGCATGGAGTGAATGTTCTTCACGCTGTGGACGAGGCCATCGAATGAGGAGTCGGTCATGTACCAACCCACCGCCTCGATTTGGCGGGAGGGACTGTCCTGGAGACTACGTTGTCCGTAGTGAGTGTAATTCTCGAAGAGATTGCCCCGGTAGCCATTCGAGAGAGAAAGATAAGGATGAGACTGCGCCATTATCAGGGACGTGGAGTCCTTGGAGCGTCTGGTCGGAGTGTGGAATAGACTGTCGGAAGCATCGACAGAGATGGTGCACCAGCAGTACTGTTTCTTCGCAAGCCCATCACACTCATCGTCTGCAGGGAAGTAGGGAAGATGTTGGCCATTCCCAACGTTATGCTGCTACGTCCTGTACAGGAAGGGATCATGTATCCGTTAATTGTACCGGCGGGATGTGTCGTCCCAACGTTCAAAACATCCATCAGCAGTTGGGACCCGAAGGCGGTTACAATGGATTATCAAATAACTACCTACAAGAGCAGGGTTCAATTTCATCTCAAGAGCAAGGTACATTTTCGTACAAATTATGCCTGTTGCACCTGTAAACTGGCAATGGTAATTTGTTTGCTACAAATTTTAGGAACGTGTAAAATGGTTTCGCATTGAAATCGAACATACTGGTACTACTAATAAAAATACTAGTGATAGGAAAGACAATATATATTATAATTCTTGATTCTGTTCGGTGTTTTCAGATTACTTCTATCGAATATCCTACTGCGTTAGATCCTTAAAACAATGCTATACTTCGATTGCGAAGTCTGGCGAGGAAAGAACGGCTGAAAGTTAGCTATTGAATATGTGTTAACACTTATTGAACTGCTAGAAGCTCTACAGTTGTCAATGGGCATAATTTTACAGTCTCCTTCATTAATCTTTCAGGATTTTTGTTATCACATGTCGGTAGTCTCGAAGCCATAGCGATGGTTATAGGGATGGCGCTAGCAGCAATCATTTTGGCGTTCACGTTCCTCATCGCTCTCCGATTCTGGCCGAGAGACGGTTGCCAGGGAGACAAACGGCAGCTTCCTTCAGCGTCGCATCACACAGATTCCTTCAACACACAGGTTTCTGTAAACGGTTAGTTGTTAATATATCTGTGCTTAAAATGTAACATAGGTCAAGTAAAATTATTGTTATTATGGCTGTATATTACTATGAGCTAAATTTCAGGTATCGCCACGCTGCCTCCTGACATTACTGAAAGTATAAACCGTGACCCGAGATTGAAGGATTTTGCGACCGAAGGAAAAGTAGAAGCAGCTGTAACAATACCTCTCCTTCAGAAGCTATACACTCAACCGACTTTATGTTCAGTATCAATGACGCCGTCGCAGACTCGATCCCATCTCAATATGAATCGCTCTCGAACGCCGAGTTCCACAGACAAGACTCATCGAACAGACTCCGAAACCCAGAGCTATTCAGACTACGGAGCCCCAGGGTCGGCATCAGAGTATGACCTCATTTATGACACAATACCTGATGAGCTTAAGAGTTCTGTAACCAGCAAGTCCAGTGTCGTGGTGTGCGTCCCAAATCATCAAATTGCGTGGATTACTGTTGGCCCAGAAGGGGGCCGTGTAGGATTGGACCTTCTGGGCGTTTGGCTGACTATACCGCCCGGAGCCATTCGGCATGGCCGGAGAGAGATGTACATAGCGGTTCTTGGAGACGGTGAACGTGAACGACTCGTAAACTTGCGAGACGAACAAAGTGTGCTTAGTCCAGTCGTGCAATGCGGACCCGTCGGAGTGCCCCTTGCAAGGCCAGTGATTCTCTCTTTTGATCATTGTGCACACCCCCCGTCTGAAAAGTGGAACATTCACCTACTTAGTGCGCCTACGAACAGTGAACAGCATCCGCATTGGAAGGAAGAGCTCTCTCTAGTTTCTTCCGGGGAGAATGTGATATCCAAGAGAGCTTATATGCAGATGGATAACCGACTGTGTCATTTACAGACCGACAAACTCTGCCGGTTCGTTGTGGCTGGGGAGTCGCGCAACAAGTGCTTCGCGGCAAAATCTCTCGTGCTCGTAGCGTTCCTGTCGAAGATCTCAAGCCTATCACAAAAAGACTACTCGGTCAGGGTCTACTGTGTTGAGGACACTAAGGCGGCCCTCCAGAACGTCTACAACGACGAAAATGGTCGCAGCATACCATTAGATGAGCCGAAAAGCATGGTTCTCCATGATGGCGGAGCTAATCTTTGCCTGACGTTGGAGGAAAATTCATTACCCGGCGACTGGGAATTCAAGCCTGGCGCTAATCAACAGGAAATACCATTTAGTCATGTGTGGACTTCGCGTCTTCCTCTGCTGCATTGTTCGTTTGTGCTAACGTCGATTTCACCCAACGACTCGGCGAAGCTCCTTGGTCGAATTACGGTTTTCCAGCGAGGTAATCAATCGCACCGGCAGGTTCTAACTTTGAATTCCGCAGCTATATATCGTAACACAGCCGAAATTCCTACGCCTATGCCTGCTCATATCAGCAATACCTTGATAAGCCGCACTTGCGGAAATACAGTCGTTCCTGCTGAAGGCTTTCGCCTCAGCCCGGAGGTTCGGCAGAGGATCTGTGCTCTATTAGATCCCTCACATCCCGAGGGCAACGATTGGCGGCGGTTGGCTCAGCATCTCGCGCTAGACGGGTAAGTTAGACATGAGGCATTATATTGCTATGTATTGTCTACCGTCTGCGTAGCTCTAAATAAAGAGGTACACGTGTGAAGATCGTTGATCTTACCGTTGTCAACGAAGTAGGAGAGTATTTAAAATACTGAAACTGATTTTAGAATAGGTTAATGTGAGTGACTGCTGCTCAACACGCGTCACCTTGAAAGCTGATTGTGTACAGCGTAGCTGCTTAGACTGAACATAGGTTAATTTAATGGGTAATTGAAACTATGTATTTCTCACAAACGGTTTCATTGCCCAGGTAAGACCTCCTATTTGTTTAAAAAACGACAGACGGCCATGAGACAAAACATTATCATAATACGATGTTGAATCAATTGCAGGAATCTTAGTTACTTCACGTTGAAGGTCAGTCCAACTGCCTGTCTACTGGATCTATGGGAGGCACGGCACCGTGAAGCTGGGGCTCCAACGGGGCTTCTAGCAGTCCTTAAAAACATTGGAAGACCTGATGTTGCAGGGACATTGGAGAAACTATTTGGTGCTTGGGTATAAATTTCAGTTCTTCCCGAGATAGCTTTTTAAATATGCGCCTGATGACTTCTAGTAATAAGGGAAAATTATCAAGACATAGTAGAATGAGAAATGCTTGAACAGGTGAATGCCATTGTTTTTATTTAACTTTCTATTTTATCCCGAAAAAAAAAAAAAGAAAACATCGTAACAGTAAACAATACCTAAACTTATTGGCCAAATGAGCCTTAAACCGAGACAATGCCATGGTCTTTCGATCTAAGTTTGTTACTGAGGAGAAATGCTGATATCATTACTGATGTTATAATATGTATCAGCTATCTGTCTATCTATATGCGCCAAGCAAACGAAGCCGTCTTTAAGCAAAATCTTCAAATGATATTATCATAAAATGAATGTTTGATATATGCATCTATCTAATTAGCACTTCTGTTCATACCTTCCATTGGCAAAATTCTTTCCGCTGTGTGACATTGTTATATATACAGAGGATTTTGGACTTGTAGCAATAAGTCGAAAGTGCCGGCCGGCTATTTCAATTAGTGAGATCAAATAGCTCACAAATAACATTGAGGACTAAAAGAGTGCGAGTTAAAAAAAAAAAACACTAGGGGAAGTATCGTTTCGTCCGAACGTCTAAACCACACAATGATTGAGACTTTTTGGTGAAGTGACTCGTTGAGGTGCTCTTACGAGTAGGTGCTATCACGTTCTCAGATTGAACTGAGAGCTGCAATATGTACAGTAAAACAACCTGTGTTTATATTCGCTCCTGAATACTAAGATCGTAACCCTGTCTGGTCTGGATAGTATCGAAGCCCTGTTTTGGTTAAGTATTTCCATTTACAATACAACAGCACAAACTAGTTACTACCCGAAGTAAGATTTAGCTTGAACATGTGTATAATATAGCAAGCCGTGTACAGTTACTAAGTATATGTAAAAATGTGAATTATATCTAGATGTACATAATGAACAAAGATAAACCAATAAAATATATGAAATTCAGAATTTTCGGAATGTTTTTATTCTCATTAGGGGTACTAATCAATAGCTATCAAGATCGCCGACTCCGCAGCCCAAGTGCAGGCAGTTGATCTGAGCCATCGTAAATGACAAGATCGACTGTATGCGGGTGAAAAACATCTCAGGAAAACAACAAGCTATGACAGAAAAACAGCACTAACCTTAGAAGAATACATATATTGTGTTTTTATTAGACAGCGAAATCCTTTTCTCGATTTTAAAGTAATTTTGTTATACATCAAATGTATTTGATACAAATACTAATTATTAAAAAGATACAAGTATATTCTACTTGAAAATAGATCATTGGAGTACCTTCATTTCAATCAAATTTATTTTACTTTTATAAAACCTTGAATGAGGTTTTTATTTGAGGCAAATTAGAGTGGCTGGTGAATCAGTTACGTCACTGAATTTAGCGAAATAGACGTCTACAAGCATATAGAAATACAATGTCGGTGCTTTTGGTTCAGGTTATCAAGCACAGCCTCAGATAACAGCTGTAATCCAGTTGTTGTTTTATGCTATGGCAGTTAACATTAGATTCTGTTCCATCACTCTATCGCTATAATGTAACGTTTCAATGTATGTACATGCTAGAAATAAATGAAGTTCTTCTTCTTCTTCTTCTAGCGATGTGACTGACGCATTCTGTGGCGGCAGTTATTTGAGACGTCAATACAAGTCTCACATAAATTATTGCAGTCATGCCAATTGTGCAAGTAACGGCAGCGATGGCGGGACCAGACGTCCTGTTGTGCGCCAGATGCAACGTTATTCGGAGTGTCGATCGCGAATCACAGGATATTTGTGCTGTTTAGTCCCTTTCCGGCCGCTCTTGCCACCAGACAAAGAAGCTCAGACGTCAAGTCCGTCCGTTTATCTATCGCTGTCTTTCTATTCCTTCCTCAAGACAAAGTCTTAGCTAGTTTTGTCGGAGTGACTTCTGGTTCCCGGTTCCGACACGATGTTGTCTTCAACGTGAACGTTGTTGTTGTTGTTGTTGTTGTTGCTGCTCTGTTCTCACAAACTTACGCACGACCTCGGTTATCGGCAATTGAATGAATAAAAAGTACAAAACGATACTTATGATTGATACATTCGTCACAAAGTAGTGTCGCAATAATGTAATGCAGAGACGGTTTAAGTAAGTTAGGGATGTATATTCTCTGTATCCTCCTGACCATGATAGTTCTGGCCCAAAGTTTCGGATTTCTTCTACGTTACAGCTTTTTAAAGTTGAATGGCCCTTTTAAAGAAACGATTAACTAACACTCAACAGTAAACAGTAAAAAAACAAACGGCCGACTGTATTGAGAATTGTCAAAGCAGATTAATTAATTAATGCCACCTACGATTGGTTCCATTCTGCGGTTTTCAAGTATGTTTCTGTATGATAACCGACAGGCTGTCTGTGCTGGTCTAGCAATTCGTACGATAAATTTATCCTATTCTATAACACAAATTGACTTCTAGCATTGGAAAAAAAAGGAGAAATTATAGTAAAAAATCAACTTATAGCTAGGAGCACTTGCACGTTTTTTTTTATCGAGGCTTAAAGATTACGCCCCATTACATCGAATAAGTAATCAGCATGGATCTAATTTCGTGAACCTATGTTTTATCTAACTATTTGGTAGTTTTTTCAAGTAACGTGCCAGTCATGCTCATACGTAACAAACTCATGTTATCCTACCTTCAAACTCCTTCCTCAAATACGTTCTACCCAATGACCAAATGATGTGTGTTATCAGGAGCAATTCTTTGTTTTTTTTTAAGTTACTTCTATTTTTGGGATGCCTTTCATATATTTTTGGCACGATTTCGCTATCCACACAGACTCGTCCTGCTCTGCTTATGGGGAGTCTAGTCAACTGGAGTAGCACTGCGAAAGGCAAAGGGCAACAAGTATCGTCCGTAGTGAAACAGCAGCTATGGTGGTCGCTCTGGTGGCCATTACTCATTCAATATTGACAGCAACAGTTACCGACCGTGGTGGCAATACCAAATAAATGCGAACCTTAAAAGGGGAAGAAAAAAAAAAAGGAAAAAGAGGCAGAAAAGGCGCACGCCTGAAGAAAAGTTTCAGGCAAGAGCTGGATGTTGAATGCTGTTCATAGCGAGTGTAACGTATTTTTGTAGTTCATGACACTCGCCAAAGGTTCCCAGAATCTATCTCATCTCCGCCCATCCGTTCTGTGTTGTTGTTTCTTTGTCTATTCTTTCGTTGGTACTACGCAACGAGTCTTCTTTTCTACACAGACGGAGTAAATCGTTCTCTCAGTATACAGTAAAAATTCACGACTCGCTTGTAATCGATAAATACATGGATAATATACGATTTTTACATCTATACGTATTTGTAGCTTTCGAGCATATATGTTTTATGTGTGTTTTACAATGTGTGAATAGTATTAAAGAGAGACTTATCCTCACTTCCATTAAAGTGTGGTGATATCAATGTTCTATTTCATCCATTCGAAGCTGTACAAGAAAAAAAATGTACAGGTCAGTTCAACAAAAGTTGTACAAAAGAACAGGTCAGTTCTCAAAAACGGTCACTCAACGTTTTAGGCTATAAGGTCTCACTGACACTATGTATATAATGGTTGAAGTTGATCACTTATGAATTAATTGTTTATTTATATGTAATTCTTCATTGTTTACCGCATTGTTTTACATCGACCAAGAACCCTTTTGATCCGTTGTCATCGCTTCGTCCGTATAGCGAGCTACAGTTTGACTCCTTTGCAAAGTACATCCACTAAACTTCAACATCGACAATTTGGGACCTTCGCAAAATAAAAAACACATTAAAGAAACATTATTAAAAAGTAGATAGAATATGCAAGGGCGGATTACTGAATAAAGAAAAAAAGCAGCCACTAACCAATTTTTAACTATATATAAAATATAAGAAGCGACTGAATTATAAGGAATACGATTCCTAATTTTATGTTTCATCTGTATGCGATATGTAACTTTAGTATTAATAGCTTTTTACTCATAACCCTTCTATTCGTTTTTGAAAAACTCAGTAGATCTATTGTTTGGACGACAATAGACTTCTTCAGCGAATAAGGTCCTTCCTAATGGGATATAACATTTGGTCAAGCAGAGAACAAGAAACACGCTTATCGGAGACATGATCGACCATTTAGTATTAGAATAACTATAGGATTTGATTGAACACCTCATATTCACACAGTAACACTCAATAGTCTCTATAACATACCGATTTATTAGCGTCCTTTATTGCGAGATAACAACTTCACTAACTGAGTGTTTCCAAGCAACACAATACAGAATTATATGTCACAATGAAAAATGCTACACCTTTCATTATAAGAGACGTCAAAGTTGACCGTATAAAAATATTAGGGTATTTCGTCAGCAATACGTGGTTATCTGAATCTAGAAAGATGATTTCGGGCCACGAACGGTCTAACAGAAAAAACAGACAAGCATACCATGCCGTCACGCGGTCTTCAGTTATAACACATAATCGGATCAAAATATCCGTTTTTATAGCAGCTGATTATGCTTACGAGAATAACCATTAATAGTGGTATGGTCTTCTGTTGAGACCAAGTTCTAATGGGGTAAGTATCAGCAGTTTTCTGTACAGGATAGACGGTGCGAAAATTTAGCGAGCAATTGACGCAAAGGAGCTTTGCACGCACGCAAACAATTATCTTGTCCTCCTTGCCTCGTCATCTTTGTTGTTTTAGCATTTCGAGTTATTTATCCCATGTGAAAAAGTCCTTGGAGTCCTGCACTTTTGATATGGCACCAAGCACGTGTTCCCACTGGGCGTCTAGCCGGAGTGGCTCTTGGCGGATCTATCTGGGTCTTCCCAACCGACATATGAAACGGCATGGCAACGCTATTCTTTTATTCTAGACGAAGTACGTCATGATAGCTGACCCGATGCTCTGCTTATTTCGTTGACGTAAGACGCGTAAAGATGAATGTGCACTCTTCATGAATTTGCCTTTTAGCTTCCATGAACGGGATCGTTCAGTCTTCATTAGATTAATGAAATGGTGGAATATAAATTAACATGTCGGCGCTATGGAACTATCATAACTAAACTAAAGAAAATAATATAGAACTAATTTGTTCAATTTATGAGACCTTGCAATTCGGTG